ATATGTCCCAGGCACGGACATCACCTTCAGTAGCTCAGAGGAGGACCAAATGTGTTAATCAGCTCAAGGCCCTACAGCGTAACATTGTTTTTGCTAAGCCTACTATTTTACTTCATCACACAGGGCCAAAGGCATACTCAGCCTTAACTTGTCTGGACCCGTGTAACGAACGAAAAAGAAAATATAATTTTGTATATGTAAATGTTGATTCAAATGCTGCCCTTGTATAGCCTAAAACTGATTTTTAATTCTCTAAGCTGATATGCTTCCTTACAGATCTATTCAGCACATTTCGACAGCTAATTTCCTCACTTTGGAAATGTCGCTGTTGATTTTAAGAAAAGGCTGGAAGTATTAGTGGAAAATAGAAGCTCTGAACATAGCAGAGGTAATAAGTTTAAGATATAACTGCTTTTAAAGCATAAAATGTGTCTTTACTAGGATTCTCTGAATCTCAAGTAGTTATGTTGTAGTTGGCAACAGGAAAACAGAAAGTTCCAGGAAGAGGTAAGAGATAGTAATGATCCTTATGTATTGAAACACTATGCAGATCCCCCATTTACACTAAGCAGCACCCATAGCTGTTAATAGACCAGTGATGTGAAGAAGAGGGCAAACCGTAGGACAGAATACAGTCACAGCTGGAATCAGCACAAGTAGCAGATTCAACTATTGAAAAGAGAGGCGACTTCCTGAACTGCTCAACTTATAGAAGGGTTACCCGAGAGGTGTATAACCAGAGTTATACTGAGTTACAGTTCTTCTACTTATTCTACTTCAAATGAGGCCTCAAAATCAGGAAAAAAAAAACAAAACCAAAAAAAAACCAACTCTACTTTCCAATCTCCTCCCACACTCTGTGAAGAAGGAGCTAATCTGTACAGAAACCCTCCACAGACCAGGACCTAGTAGCTACTGAAATCGTCACGTTGTCAAGAATAGGGCATTCCCTATTGATCATTTTATTCTGTCCTTCCTTTGCAAAAATTAGCGTAGTAAAACAGTTTTGACGATGTGTAGAATTTCAAGGGAATAAAAAATAATTTATTGTCCAGCGTTCCCTGTAAATTTTAAACCAATATCTGATACAATACTGTGTTACTTGTAGGTACTCATTAATTAAATTTCAATTTATTTGCTTTCATAGTAAGTTTATCTTCCTAGCCTGTATTTTGTTATCCTTAAAAACAAGGCCAAAACAATGCAGAACAAGGAAAAGGGTCACAATGAAAAGTAATTATCTTATTTACTTTTGCATATTGAACCAGTGAGTATTCTATAACACATACTTCATTTGTTCCCAGTATTACATCTTTTGAATAGCAGCTGCTTGGGAATCAGAATGAAAGTGTTGAGTTTTAAGAAGTGTAGTATTTGGCAGATAGTCACAGCCAATAAAAATGCTGTACACAATACATCCATGTTGAATTTGCAGCTCAGAAGAAAAAAACTGTTACTTTCGTTTAGGTATCTAAGTATCTCCCATCAGAAGCTCGAAAATAGCATAAAGTGCCATTAATACACACAATTTCTTTAATTCATAAAATTATTCACTTTCAAAAACCGAAAAAGAAAGTATGTAACATGCCAGTAAGAGAGTTCTCTTCTCTGGAAAGATTGTTTTTTAGTGAAAGAGGATAGTTTAAAGTAAAATTACTAGTAAACCAAGTTGGGTAGAAAACCATGAAATTAGACCCAGTTCTAAATGAGGTGTCTTGACACACAGATTTTGTACTTCATAGGATGACACTACTAAAATTATTTTTAACAGCCCATGATAAGTACGCTCTCACAGCATTTTTGCCGTACAGGACATGGAAGTAGAACTCAAATGCAGTTATGTCAAAATTAGGACTTTCACATGTAGCTGACATTACCCACTGGACTTCTTAGGTGTATTGGAGACAGTTGTACATGTACACCATCCTCCCCTTAAACAAAAGTACTTGGCAAATTCAGTGAGAAAAATAATCCTTTCTTTCTGTGGATGAGATTTTAGGAAGCGAGGTTCTACAAGCAGTAGGAATAAATGCTCTAAGACATGCAGGGAAGTACTTGGAGATACTGGTGGATGAAAAAATGGACACAAGCTGACAATGTGTACTTGCAGCCCAGAAAGACAACCATATCCTGCATCAAAAGGACCATGATCAGCACGTCGAGGCTTGTGAGTCTCCCCTTCTACTCTGCTCTGGCGAGACCCCATCTGGAGTACTGCACCAAGATCTGGGGTCCCCAGTTCAAGAAAGACTTGTTAGACCAGATGCAGAGAAGGGCTACAAAAATGGTCAGAGGGCTGGAACACCTCTCCTGTGAAGAAAAGCTGAGAGAGCTGGGGTTTTTCAGCCTGGAAAAGAGATGACTCCAGGGAGAACTTCTTGCAGCTTTTTGATATATTAACGGGACTTTTGAGAAAGGTGGAGAAAGATTTTTTACCAGGGCCTGTAGTGACAAGACAGGGGAAAAAGTTTTAAACTCCAATAAGGTAGATTTAATTTTGATCTAAGGAGGAAATTCTTCACAATGTGGATGGTGACATGCTGCAGTAGATTTCCTAGAGAAGTTGTGGACACGTCATCATAAAAAGTATTCAAGGGAGGGTTGGACAGCGCTTTGCAAAACCTGATCTAGTGAAAAATGTCCCTGTCAGTGACAGATGGCTTGGCTAGATGCTATATGAAGGTCCCTTCCAACAAAAACCACTCTGTGATTCTATGAAAATTAGATACACAGAGGTCCAAATTCAAGCTGGGGAAGAATAGTTTGATCCCTCATGTGCCATTGACCTTGCACTTTCCCTGGCTTAAGTGTTACAGCAATTTCTTAAGGAAAGTGTTAACCTGGGCTTAAAGACCACTAGTGACTGAGAATTTAGCAGTGTTTTCTCAGTTTTCCCGTGGTTACTCTTGCTGAAAAAGGGGCCTACTGTTTCTAGGTCAAAACTGTGAACTCAAGTTTTAGTCTTCTCCCTTAGGTTTGTCTGCTACAGTAAAAAATCCTGTTTCTAGAGTGTGTTTTTTCACTCATAAACATTGACAAGCAAATGTATGTTTTCTATTTATGCTGTTAGTTTTCTTCTGAATGTTCTCCAGTTTATCTGCACCCCTCTTATCTGTGAACAACAGAAATCTTGCAAGTGAAATTCTACGCATTGCTAAATATGTACTAACACAACTTCTCTATTCAAGTCCCTTCTGTTCATATATCCAACAGTTCTGACACTAGAATTTACACCAGGAATTTTTGTTTAGTTAAACATGTTTGCACCCCTAGTTTTTCTTAAAGTTACAACTCCCCTAATGGACATCTCCATTCTATAAACTTCCATTCCTGTGATTTTCAGTGGATCATATTAGACAACAATAGAAATCTAGAAATAAAATTTCAAGCAATGCCAAATCTGATGTCTTACAGTAGTTTATTACATCAGTATCAATATCTAATTAATCAAATTTGTCATTTCATGGAAAGAAAATTTGGTATGGTAGCTTCAGATAGCCTGATTGCCCACTTTGATTGCCATTATTTTATTTCAGTATCTTCATAATAAAAAAACATTTCTCATATTCCATTATTCTGCTTCAGATCAATGTATAATTTTCTTGGGTTTTTTTGAAACTTTTTCTTTGTTCCAGGACTTGCTTAAAATCAGCATTAACACCTAGAGACCAACTAGAGAGGGTTTCATTTTGGATAGTAATAGAAATGAAGGAGTTTGTGACTGGAATAAATAACATACCTAGCATTTACTAATTCTCTTCTTTCAAAAGAATTAATGTTAAAACATTAAAAAGGAAATAAAACATCAAAAGCAGTATTTTTTTATATGGAAGTGTTGAGAAGCACATCCTTTGTTGCTTTGTTTTTTGAATATGACTGACTTGATTGGTACTCTACTGCACAAAACTGGACATAGCTCATCTATAGTAAAAAAGCAAGATGTAAATATCATTTCCCCTAGCTGCAGTCGTAAGTTTAGGACTATTTAAATTTTCTGATTTGAGTCTAATTTTAGTCTAAATTCTCAAAGTCTCAAGTCTTTTTAGATTAAAAAGTATTGATTTATTAAACAAAAAAAATAGGTAAAACTAGATTTCTGAAACTCTACAGTATATACACTTACATAATTATATATAAACAGATTATTAAATAGCAAGCAACTTTTAACTTTTTATCCCTCAACCTCGTTCTTATACAACTTGGAAAATTCTGGTACATGTCCACAAAATCCTGTAATCTGAAACCATTAGTGGAAGATCTTTATCACCATTTTGCTGATAGCATTTGTTCAGGCTTCTTAGTTCTTAAAATCTTATTTAATACAGTGCTATATTACAAGACTGCTTTGCACAGAAGTTTCAGTCACATTGGTATTTGAATTTGCAAACAGGTAAAAGCTTATAATATGCTTGAAAAACGCAGAATTGCTACAGTTTCTGTATATAAAGTTGTTGAAACTTGTCTAAACTGAAAACTCCAAGGAGGAAAATTTTCTTGAAGAACAGAAAGTAAATGCAAACAGCTATGCATGTGTTCGCACTTTAAATACTGTAAAGAAATTAGTGTGCTGTTTGGTCTTAAGAATACAACAGATCACATTCATTTTCTAAATTAATCCTTCCCTTCTTTTAAAATCAAATCTCTTTTTAAGATGAATATTTATGTTCCACTCTTTCAACTACAATGTACTATGCCTTCATCCTGAGGGCATATATGCCTGTGTATACTTTCTTACGGTGAATATTTCTTTTCAGCAGGTCCATATGTAAATTAGTGGCTCTTACTATTCTTGAAAATAAATATGTTGATTCACAAGGTGAAACAGCATCTTATGAAGGTTCTACTGTTCTTTGTTTTATCTGGAGTTACTAAGAGCAACTACAGTAACAAAAAAACTCATGATGATTTTGAAGTGCTTCTGGCCATCAGTAGCTTTCAGTTCAGGTGGATAAAAATAGAGTTACTCAGATATTCACTAGTGGTTTAGAGATTTTTGATCTTCAGAGCTGAAGACTGAGTAATACTTTCCTAGTATAGCAAGGAGTAGAATCTGTGAAAAGAGAAAAAAGAAATATATTTCAGACTTCAACTACTTAATCCAGCAGAAATAAATGGAGCCCTTAGCTAGAAACAGCTATGTTTGGTCTTATTTCAAAGGTACTCTACAAGAGATCTGTGTGCTATCTTTCAGTATTTCTGCTGGCTCATGTTATACAGAAGATATTCCTTCTCGAGTCTGCTTTTCAAAAGCTGACATTGGCATAACCTATAGCACAAGAGTTCAGAAACAGGAAATCCAAGAGTGATTCCTGATCCAAGCTCAGCATAAAAAGTATTGAGGTAAATTTTGTCTAGGAAAGCAGAGAAGGGTATCTCTGAGTTGCTTTGCCCCAAAGGAGTATGGAGCTGGCCTATACTTGACAGGGCCAAATGCAGATTTCAGGTAGCCTGGTAGCTGTTATCCTAGGCACAAATGTGTGTTCAACAAGTACGTAAATACAACTGCATCACTACATATTTCATGAGTATCTCTAAAGCCAAATTATGATCTCAGTTTTTCCTCGATTCCTTCTCTCCCTTTTAACCACTGTTGCTGCTGTTATCAGAATCTGGCACTTACAGCAAATTTCACTTTAGAAGTAGATGGCTTGAATATTTGATTGTGCATTTAATGGACTTTAAGGAGCAAAAGTCCAGTATCAGTACATGAAAAATATTCTACAGCCACATCCTGTGGCCTTTCTTTACATTTCTATTTTACCAGGTCTTGTAGGACTACTACAGAGACCACTTATATGAAATTCAAGGAAGGGAAACATACCATAAGATTCATTCTGCACAAATTTATTTCTACACAAAAACTCTCAGAGAGATTTAAACAGAGGGTATGGGGTATTTTGGCTTGCAGGAAATTTTTCTTTGTTTCCTAATGTGCTTTACTAAACAAGACTCAAGAGATATATCTGAAGGGTGGGTGTCAGGAGGATGGGGCTAGACTCTTTTCAATAGTGCCCAGCGACAGGACAAGGGGCAACGGGCACAAATTGAAGCACAGGAATTTCCGTCTAAACGTGAGGAAGAATTTCTTCCCTCTGAGGGTGACAGAGCACTGGAACAGGCTGCCCAGGGAGGTTGTGGAGTCTCCTTCTCTGGAGATATTCAAGTTGAAGGCCCGCCTGGACAAGGTCCTGTGCAGCCTACTGTAGGTGACCCGGCTTCGGCAGGAGGGTTGGACTAGATGACCCACAGAGGTCCCTTCCAACCCTGAACATTCTGTGATTCTGTGATTCTGTGACTGACAGTTACTTTGTTATGGTAAATCTGAGACAGAAAAGCAAAATAAAGTAATATGTAAACTTTCAGGTGCTGTGCAATAAAGACAAAAACCGTGATTTTACTACAATAATTTTACAGTGGTTAAACAATTGGTACATTGATACAGACACGCTGTTAAAGAATGTTATAGAAATGGAAATAGCATTTTGTGTATACACCATGTCTCTTTTTGAGGAGAAGAAGCACTTCTGTAGGTATTTAAAATGACTAATGCTAATCCAAAGAGAGGTAAGTAAATCTGGAGAATGAGGATAATCATTGAATATATTATCACTGAATTAAGGTTAATGCATGTATAAACACACCATGAATTTTGTATACATTTGTGCAATATCAAGTGTTTTAGTTAGGGCCCAAACCACTTACAAAATGCAGTCAACATTTTCACTTTTAGTCTTACTTAATACCGTAACAGACAATTACATTTTAGGGTATATTGCTCGTAGTCTTAAAAATCAATGTTCCAAATGTATGTCTGCATTTATATCCCAGCTAGCAAGAAGTTTGCTACAAGTTAACACATACCCCTTTCCTTTAGCTCTTCAATGTATGCTTTCATAAACTCTTTCTCAAATTGCTCCCGTTCACGTTCACTTTCTATAATTTCTTTGGTGTCTTCACATACAATAGTTTCAACTGGGCTGTCCTTGAGGCTTATGAATCTAGAGAAAGATTAACACAAGAATATATGCAATAGGATTCTGAACATCACTGGCCAACACAAATGGGGTTTCAGAAGTTGCTACTACTTCCAGAAGGTGAAACGTAAAGAACATATGCTCTGCTTTTGCATTATGGCATTTTTAGGATCCATCTATTATTAGAAAAAAAGATTTCAAATGGCACCTTCTATATACTTCACTTTCCATGTAAAAATGATCAGATTTATGTCTTTCTTTTTGCCTTTCTATATAAATCATTCTTTGCAATAACAGATATATTTCTTTATTATGGAATTTCTGACAGACTACACTGTAATTTCACATCTGTTAATAAGCTGTATGAACTCTACCCTAACAACACTGCCTGGCAATCTGGAATTTTGCCAGTATCTTTTAGCTGACAGTATGTATCTCCGTTTTTTGGTTGTTGTTATGTTACTTGTCTTTTACAATGCATGACTGGACGTAAGTTGTGTCATATTTGCAAATTTTCTAAAGTTACACATTGCAGCTGAAGAACAAGACAGTTAAATAAACAACTTGCATAAAGTGCAAATTAAGTGCAGAGCATTCTGAAAATCTCTGATGATATTACCACTCCAACAAGGAACAAAAACAATAGAATTGTTGCTTTCAAAAGAACAATGTTCCAACAAATCACACAGCTTTTTAAAACCTGATGAATTGCTGTCAGCCTGTGGTCAGCTGATCTTGGCTGACCAGATGCCCACCAAGAACCTCTCTCACTCCCCCTTCTCAGCAGGACAAGGGGAGAATATAAGATGAAAAACTCATAGGCTGACATAAAGACAACTTAATGAAGAAAAGCAAAAGCCATGCACTGAAGCAAAGCAAAGCAACATAACTTATTCTCTGCTTTTCATCAACAGGCAATGTCCAGCCACTTCCTGGGAAGCAGGCACTCAGTGCATGTAGTGGTTGTTTTGGAAGACAAACACATTCGTAACAAATGACCCACCTCCCTTCTTCTCTCTCTTAGCTTTTATTGCTGAGCATGAGGTCAGATGGTGTGGAAAATCCCTTTGGTCAGTTTGAGTCAGCTGCCCCAGGTATGTCCCCTCCCAACCTCTTGCTCATCCTCAGCCTATTGGCCTTTGTGGGGGCGGATTGGAGAGACAGCCTTGATGCTGTGAAAGCACCACTCAACAGTAGTCAAAAACCTCAGTGTGTTATCAACATCATTCTAGCTACAAATCCCAGCACTATAAGGGCTGCTACAGGGAAAGTTAGCTCCATCCCAGCCAGACCCAGTATAGACTCTTTAATTGTTTAAAAACCAAAGTCTTGAACGTCGACTGCAGAAATACAAGATCATTGTAATTGCAGGATAAAAGGCTTTTTAGTCTTATCCTGCATGCAGCAACAAGATGCAGTTTCACTACAAAGAATAAATGAACTACTAAACACATGTGGCAGTATTTAGCCTTTTAACTACCCATATCTCCCACTACCAACAGCATACTTTTGACTGCACTGAGCTGATCAACAGGTAACTGCCAGACTACTGGTCCCACTCCAGGTCATGGCTTGTGATTCCAGAGTTAGATCTACTATGGCCAAGTCTACACAGGAATAGCAGTTTAGGCATATAGATGCTCAGTGTGGGGAACTGGCAGATGAAATCTGGAAAGCTGCAGCTCCTCCGCAATTTCAAATCTCTCTAATACCTCTTTAAGGGCACTGGTACAAATTGGGTCATAATTTGACCACCAGCTGTGGTAGAAATTGATGCTTCTGAAAGTATTTCTCCTGGATGCATCTGCCTTATCTTCTTCAGAACATATTCCTTTCTCTCACTTCTACTTACTTTAAACCTGTGGTTGACTCACAGACAGCTGTGGGTATCTCAACCAGGTCATCACCACTGACAACTAGCAAACTGAGCTTTGGCATATTGACCAGAGCTCGTGGAAGATAAGTCAGCTTGTTTTTCTGTAGGAGAAGTGTCTGCAGTTGATCTAACCTGTAGAAATTTAAAAGACAAAGATAACTTAAAATACTTATGCCAGGCAGGAGCATCTATCCAAAACAGCAATACAGACTTAATCTTGTGTAAAAGAAGAACAATTACATGGACCACCTTTGGCTTTTCAAAAGTTACTCATACCACACTTTCACAAATTGTCATTAGCTTTAATGGAAATTTCCAGTCCTGGTTCAACGCCATAGATATTGATAGCATACCTCTGACAAGTACTCAGAAGAACGCTCAAGCTAAAAGGCTGTGAAAATTACTTTGCTTTTATACAGAAGATGTTGACAGAATATGATATAAAGCCTCACCCAGTGCATCATGGAACTAATGAAAAATACGTGTCACCAGCGTACACCTTTGCCATATGCTGGTTTCTATGAACTAGATATGTCTGTGCTTGGCAGTATATTCCTGTCTATAGTTTTTCACCAGTAATTAGCACTGTGGGGAGCAAAAGAAAGACCAAAAGAAAGACCAGCTCCTGATCACACGCCTCTTGCAAGTTGTCCCACTGAAATCAATTTAATGACAATGTGTTGTGGAGGAAAGCATTGGGCTTCTTTTGTTTTATTTCCCCTGGCTTTTCCTAATGCAACAGTAACGTGTGGCTCTAAGTTTATTCTATGAAGCAGATGATAGAAGAAAAACATCATAGTAAACTGATGAAAAATACTTTGTCTCATTTGACTAGAAGGGTCCATTCCTAAAACACCATTTCAGGCTATTGATTATCAGGCCCATAAGGTTTGTTTGAATTCTGGGACAGATATTCAGTAAGACTTTAGTTTATTGCCAACTCATATTTTTTAATTACAGGCTTCATGGTAGTTCGCTGAGGTTCTTCAACACTGCAAACATTGAAATCGTGAAGTTGAACAAGAGTACCAGTTTAGTGGGAGGGAGGGGGTATCCTGACATTTTCTCATCTCTTCAGGATACACATGAGCCCAAGAGATCTCAAAATTCAAAACTGAAAGCCAAACAAAGAAAACCTTGTTTTGTGGCATCTGATTATGATTCTTTATTATCAAGGTTGGCAACTCCATACGAAATGGAGAAGATGAAATGTAGAAGATTTTGGAGACGGAGAAATACGTAGAGATCACAGGGAAAAAATGACCCTCAAGTTGAGTGGGTATCCTCCCATAAAACTAAAATATCCCCTTAGAAGCTCTATGAAATAACCAATTCTCTGCTCAGATCCCCTGGAAAAAATTGGCAGGTTTATGCTGTTGTGGCTAGAGCATGTGAATTATTAATACTAATGAAGACTTCAGCCCTGCTGTCAGCGAAATCTGTGATTACACAATGTCCCAAAAATGTTTTTTTTTGCCCAGTAACAAAGATCTTGTGAAAGTTAAGGTTGAATGAATTTTCTGTGAAGTTTCTTCTGCTTCAGGGATCTCTATACACAGATCAATTAAAAAATCAATTTTTTTGTTATAAACTTTAGTTAATGTGTATTTTGATTTACTTATGCCTATGCAAAGTTCTGTAAACTAGGTTACAACAGGACTCGAGAGTGAATAAATAGGCTTAGAGATAAAAAAAGTGTTTTTTCTCAGGCTAGGAAGTCTCGTTATAGGGATCAGCATGATTCTTCTAAATTTAGTTCTAGTGGATTTCTAAATTGAGAGCAGAAGTAAATGTATGCACATGCATATATACTTCAGAGTAGGATGAGAGGATTGTCAGCATTTTTGTTCATCTTACCTATATTTTTCTGCATTACTGTCAAAGTTTATCAGATTCTTTCAGTAACTTAAATATGCTTTAGTTCACATTTCTTTCCACCCCATCTACCCTCAAGAGACATATTGCTGCCAATTCCATGTGATGAGCTGGAGCTGGGGCAGAGTATGTGCATGAACTTCCCAAATCACAATGCCTGAATACAATAAAAAATTAATAGGAATGCAGCAGAAAATATAATTCGATAACTTGACAGCAGAGAAACTGAGTGACCGATCTGCCATCAATGAGCTAGAAAATGTAGTTTCTGTTCTCCTACCTAATCCATCAACAGTAACGACAAAGCTTACATGCAAAACTATCTGAAGCATTTCCAAATGTGATTTTTTCACACGATTTTTCATTAGTGGTGTCCCCTAGAAGCTTGCTACTTTCTAGATTTGCTTTATAGTTTACAAGCCTGTCAATGAATTAGAACATAAACTACCTGTCTATGTCTTCTGGGAGATCTGTCAGGTTGTTGCTGCTAATATCCAACCACTGCAAATTAGACATCCGGAGTACACAAATTGGAACAGAATGGAACTTGTTTGCTGACACGTCCACAACTGTGACTTTTTTCAGGTTACTTAGCTAGAAAGAAGTGGTGCCTTGTTTTAGTTACATTTTACCAATACAGGAAGACATTTCATTCATCAAACATTCTTATTCCTCTCTAAGCACCCAGAAAAATAAGAACTGCATGATTTTTTTACATAACATTTTGTCAGCCTTATGTCTTAGTCATAATTTTATAGGAAAGAGGATTTCAGAAATTACTACCTCCCAATGTGTTCTTCACCTTTCTAATACTATCATGGTATTGAATGAAATTTGAATTCTAAAAAAAACTATAGCTTCAGATGACACCAAGGCTGAGACCAGACGACGGCTTGGTTGCTTCCTAGCTTACATATGAACTAAGATCTGAAGTGACAAAAAACAGTTTTCATAATTAACAGATGCCAGGTTACCATTCTCAAAATTAGAGATTTTATAACTCCCATCAAAAATGCACAGATTCCCTTTTCTATACCTCTGTTACACACTGAGAGTGCTTTGTTAAGAGAGCCTTAGAAAATGAAATTGCCAATTTAAGCCAACATAAAATTTAGTTCAATATTTTTTAAAGATCTTTTAATATACATCTTTCACACTGCAAACTAAATACATAATAAGGTGCACTAGAACTTTTTATTTGAATACTTTAGAAAGGAATTACATTTTTACGTAATAAACCTTTAGCACAATGAAGGTTAACTACAAAAGTAAAATATACCTGTTAAAGAAATAAAAATGTTAAATAAAGAGCTCTGTGTACTGAATCAATTACTCACATGACCAGGGTTCATAAAGCCATGCAGCTAGCTAAAGTGAATGTCAAAGGAGTATAAATGTTAACCAAAAAATCTACTTCAGAACAAAAATTATGTCTCTGAGCTTCTCATCATATGTCACCATCACAATCTAGTTCTATAGTTCCTGATACAGCAGAGAAAGTAGCAAAACAATTTCATTAGTCTTTGCCTGAAGGTTTGTTAAAATGCAGAAAATAATTAGGAACCAAAAACCCCAGACAAAACATATTTTTCATTTCCAAAGTGAGAGAAATGCAAGCAACTGTATAAATTTTGAAAAAAATTAGAAAAAAATAGAATACATTCTTTATTTTTAAAATATTGTTTACCAAGAATTAATTCCTGTTTTGTTATATTCTATGGCCAAACCTCTTCTTACTTCAGTACTGCCAGACTGTCACCTTAATTTGACTTTTGCCGTTTAAAATGCTTACATTAATAGGCTGGCACTGTGTCTGGGACAGTTTGGTTTGGGACATTTTGGGAATGGTATTCTTGTTTGTGGGGTATGGGGGTTTAGTTTAGTTGGGGTTTGGTTTTATTTTTTCTAGATTTAGCCTCATATTGCTGCCAGACCTGAAAATTTGAGGGAAGTCTTTTCAGGGAGATTTACTGAAAGTACCATATTACAAATGACTACACAATTAAGTTTACCTTGCAGAAACACAGTAGAGTTTCAGAGTTTCTCAAGATAAAGACATAATTTCAAAATCTGTACTCCACTGCATTAAAACAGCCCTGACGAGGCATTACCATGGAAATGGCAAACACACATTTTATTCTGACATTTCTCACTTCCAAACTATGTTGTCATTTTGAGGACTGACTACTAGCAATGAACGCTGCTACACTGTAAATTTTTCAGATACTGAGTATTTTTCCAACAAAACAGAACCTTCCTTTGAACAAGGAAAGCAGAGTGCCTTTTCAAGATCATAGCAATGAGAGAATACAGAAAATAATTTGCACGATCTTTACATTGCAATTACTTTGTGGTTTGTTCTGGTTTTGGATGCAGCCGGCAACAAAAGCACCACGCGGCTGCCCCTCCCCCCACCAGGGTGTGGAGGAGAATGGAAACAAACAGGCAGAAACTGGTGGGTCAGGATAAGGGCGGTTTAACAGAACAGCAAACAAAGGGAACTGCAACAACAGCGATACAGAAAAGGGGAATATACAAAACAAACCCGCAGAACAGAACCTGTCTCTCAGACCGCACCTCCGCTGTTCCCTCCTGAGTGAGAGAGTTCCCGCCCCCCAGCTCCCGGTGAAAATTAACCCTGTCCTGGACCGCCGCTGAGCCCTCCCGAGCAGCGAGTGAGTTCCCGCAGCGCCGTCCCCCGCAATGGAACCCAGCATGATGTCACATGGTATGGAATACCCTGCTCTGTTTGGCCAGGTTGGGGTTGGGTCAGGCCATCGGGCTGTGCCCCTTCCTGGAGTCCGGTGAAAATTAACCCTGTCCTGGCCAAACCCAGGACATTATCCACCCCTTATTCCATACCATCTACGTCATGCCAAGGTCCCCCATTGTCCAGTTGATCACCACCACTTCTCCTGTCTCCAGATATCATTCCCTTAGTCTATGGATCATCACTCTAAAGTTAAATGAATATCCCAGTTTTTGAAAGTCCCACCCCCCATTGCCCTCAAAGTGGTTTTTAGCAGACCATTGTACTGCTCGATCTTTCCAGAGGCTGGTGCATGGTAGAGGATGTGATAAACCCACTCGATACCATGTTCTTTGGCCCAGGTGTCTATGAGGCTGTTGTGAAACTGAGTCCCGTTGTCTCACTCACTTCTTTCAGGAGCGCCATGACGACATAGGACTTGTTTTTCCAGGCCCAGGATGATATTATTGTCATAATTCCAAATCCAAAGCAAATATTTCAAGTTTCTCTGCACTTAGAACAAATTGCTGAAAATGCTCATACATTTCTTTCAACAAACTGTCCCCAAAAGGAATTTAGCAGGCACAGAATTAAAATGATGTCCCACAGGCTTAAATGCCACACGAAATGTTCTCAAATCATCCCCAAAGAAGAAAAGCAAATGTCTCCAAACACTAAGCAGCAGATTATTATTTTAAAATAAATTGAAATCACTGATCTTCCAAGTTCCTAAACACTTTGATTTCATATGCAGTCAACTGTCATGCTGAAAAAACTTGGTAACATTAACAGCAGGTGGTAAAATTATATTTCTTCAACAGCAGTAACTGGTTTTATGTGTTTTCCTGAAGTCCCTTATTGTGTTAAATATTAAAAGTAACATTAATATAGTAGTATCTTTATTTTAATAAACAGACCTATTTCTTCCTTTTTTCATATAGTACTGAAAATAGATTGGTTTAATACTTGATTAGATGAAAATCTACTTTTTACTGGGGTTTATACTTCCATAAAAATGTACCAACAATATAGAAGGCCATGGGCTTTCATGATACAAAGTTTGATACAGCATGCCACAGAACATATGGAGCCATGATTATATTTTGTAAGCTGCACCTCCTCAGTACTTGTTCTTTTTACAGTAATATTTAACAAAACCTGTCCATTTTCTATAGTATGTTGAAACCTAATGGAGTTTTTATTTAATCTGTCTCTGGTATGCTACCAACAAACATCTACACTATATGATGCATTGGAAATTACGGCACTTACGTATTATATTTTCTAAAGAAAACTCTGCCTATTTTATTTCTTATTGAAGGACTGATGGATTTTTGCATCTTTTGTAATATTTGATTTTCAAACAAGCATGGGTCCCTTATCATTTTTACGTTACAATTTTTTTTTATGTTGATTTTTGCTATTTTCCTCTCTTATGTGACTTTGAATCAATCAGTATATGAGCTTTATGCAAGTTCTGTTTTCAAAAATAACTACATTTGATAGTCTAGCTACCTGGATCCACTTATTGTGGTCCTTCTATTTAATCACTCTTGTCATTTTTATTTGACACACTGCCCCATTTTCCTTATCTTAATAATTTTGTTCTTAGAAGTAATCAAGATAACATTGTAGAACTACACTTCTTCTCTTTGTCTGACAGTTAAACCTTCAGTTGAAAGAAAAGGACACCATATCCTGAGCTGAACAAGTTATTTGATTAATGGGTGTGTTTTTAGTCCTGTTCTGCTTTTTGCCATGAAAGAGATTTACTGATAAGGTTGCATGCAAGTTTGTTTTGAGTTGCCTACTGCTTAGCACCACCAAATGAAAAGGTGTACAGTCATGTCAAGCCTTACCACAATAATACTGTATTTTTCATTTACATGTAAACATTCTGTGACAGAAACAGCATCCCATCACAGTATCACAGAATGATAGGGGTTGGAAGGGATCTCTGGGAATCTTCTAGTCCAATCTCCCTGCCGATGCAGGGTCACCTACAGCAGGCTGCACAGGACCTTGTCCAGGCGGGGCCTGATTGTCTCCCAGGAAAATCCACAACCTCCCTGGGCAGCCAGTTCCAGGGCTCTGTCACCCTCACAGTGAAGAAGTTCTTCCTCATGTTCAGATGGAACTTCCTATGCTTCAGTTTGTGCCCATTGCCCCTTGTCCTGTCGCTGGGCACCACTGGAAAGAGTCTGGCCCCATCCTCCTGACACCCACCCTTAACATATTTATAGGCATATAGAAGGTCCCCTCTCAGCCTTTTCTTCTTCAGGCTAAACAAGCCCAGCTCCCTCAGCCTTTCCTCATAGCAGAGATGGTCCTGTCCCCTAATCATCCCTGTAGCACTCCACTGGACTCTGATAGTTCCTTGTCTTTCTTGCACTGGGGAGCCCAGAACTGGACGCAGTACTCCAGATAGGGCCTCACCAGAGCAGAGTAGAGGTGCAGTATAACCTCCCTTGACCTGCTGGTCACTCTCCTCTTCAAGATAATGTACAACAAGACGTACAAAGGATTAACCCAGAACTGTCTATCAATGCATTACAAACACGTTTTTGCCAGGAAATTTCAGACTCAATGAATTCATAGAAAATTTATACCGCTTCAGTAGGATCAAGCTATCACATAGGTTGTCTCCCAAAACTCATAGATTGGCACTTAGCATCTCATTAGCTTGCTGAAAGCAGTACGATGTACATGACAAAAGAGTATCCTAGGTGCATACTGCACAGTTGCCCACTTAGATCTCACACATTCAAACTAAATCCCCAGTTTTTCTTTCACAGACCTGTAAGTGTGACCTCTTCTACAATATCATTTACATTCCTGGAGAAAA